CAGGCAATACACTCTTTGACATTGGGCTTAGAAGGATCTTTTTGAATACTGTATCTACTCAGGCAGGGGAAACAAAAGAAAAAATAAACAAATGGGACTTCATCAGACTAAAGAGCTTCTGCAAGCAAAGGAAACCATGAACAAAATGAAAAGACAACCCACCAAGTGGGAGAAAATATTTGCAAATCATATATCTGACAAGGGGTTAATCTCCAAAATATATAAAGAACTCATACAATCAACAACAAAAAAACAAACAACCTGATCAAAAAATGGGCAGAGGATATGAACAGACGTTTTTCCAAAGAAGATATACAGATGACCAATAGGCACATGAAAAGATGTTCAACATTACTAATCATCAGGGAAATGCAAATCAAAACTATAATGAGATATCACCTTATGCCTATTAAAATGGCTATAATCATCAAGACGAAAAACAACAAATGTTGGAGAAGTTGTAGAGAGAAGGGAACCCTTATACACTGATGGTGGGAATGCAAACTGGTGCAGCCACTATGGAAAACAGTATGGCGATTCCTCAAAAAATTAAAAATAGAACTACCGTATGATCCAGCTATCCTAGTACTGGGTATCTATCCAAAGAACTTGAAATCAACAATTCAAAGAGACTTATGTATCCCTATGTTCACTGCAGCACTATTCACAATAGCCAAGAAGTGGAAGTAACCCAAATGCCCATTGAATGATGAATGGATAAAGAAGATGTAGTATATACATACATACATACATATATATATATATATATATATATATATATATATATATATACACACAGTGGAATACTACTCAGCCATAAAAAAGGACAAAACCGTCCCATTTGCAACAACATGGATGGAGCATGAGGGTGTTATGTTAAGTGAAATAAGCCAGACTGAGAAAGACTAACACTGTATGATTTCACTCATGTGTGGAAGATAAACAAACGCATGGACAAAGAGAACAGATTAGTGGTTACCAGAGGGGAAGGGGTTGGTGGGGTGAGCATCAGAGGTAAAGGGGCACATTTATATGGTGACTGATAATAATGTACAACTGAAATTTCTTCGACATTGGTTTTATTGTTTATGACCTCAATAAAATAAATAAATAAAAATAAAAAGAGATTGCATTGGAACACCTAACAGACAAACGCAGGGGCTAACGTGCCTCTAGCACAGCTAGACCCTGGTGGTCGAGCAAAGTCGTCAGACATCTCTATTCTCCTGGTTCTGTCAGCTCCGCCCTCCACGTTATTGCTTCATTCTCGCAGGGGCTCTCCCAACGTTGTGGCAAAGTGGCCACAGGCAGCCGTAGGCCTCCCTTCTACCAGCGGTAACTCTCCAGGGGAAAGTCTCCAGGAGTCTCTCATCCGCCTGGCGTGAGCCCCGTGTGCATCCCGGAGCTGTCACTGCCCTCTGGTTGGCCAGCCTGGCCCTCGAGCTGCTCCATAATGGAGGGATAGGTCTGCCCCATCTGAAGCTTGTGCATTGAGGGCTGGGGGTCCTTAAAGGGAAATGGGTGCTGGAACAAAAAGGAGAATTTACTGTTGGGCAGGGAAAACCTACCGCTATGATGATCACAGAGCCTTCCTCAAGCCCGCTGTGGTGAGAACTGAGTGAGAGAATACACACAAAAAGAGCCATATGTAATTAGCCCTTGTCTCCCAGGGCACTCAGGCTTGTGTCCTCTTTGATGGCGTCCTCTTTTTCCCATCATCAATTTCAGCCTACTTGGGTAACAATGTGTTTTGAAATTTTAAAAATTATTTAGTTCCATTTAAGAATTAGTAATTTTCACATAAAAATCTGGATTTCTGATGGTTCTCGAAAAGTTGAAAGGTCTGGCAACAATCAACTGTGCCCATATGGGGTCCCCCTCACAAGCAGCGGTTCAGCTCAGTCTGCCCACAGCCTGGCCCTGGGGGATGTCTGGGATCCTTTTCGTGCCTGGTACCCTCGCTTCAGTGCCTTTCCTCTTCTGCCCTACCAATCTAAACCCCATCCATCCTTCAAGGCTCCAGCACCAGGACTCCCTTCAACCTTCTCTCAGCACCCAGCTCTCACAGAGCTCTCTCTTCCAGTCTCCATGGAAGGACGTCCAGTGACAAGCAGGACCACACAGACTGTGAGTCTCCAAGTGGTTCCAAGTGCAGAGGGAGCCACCTGCACTGTAAAACAGACAGGGATACACAGAGAGAGGGCAGAGGCAGGCCACCGGGCCATCCCTGAGGTGAGAGAAGATAAACAGGAATTGACCTGGCAGAAAAAATTATTGAAAAATGTTTGTCATCTATTTTCAAATAAAATTCTACACTTTATTTATAATTCAAAATATAGGAACACGCAAAATGTGCTCCCTCATTGAAACCAGCCTTTAAAGAGTAATATTGACAGCATTACATAGTTTCAGAAGTAAAAATGTCAAGGTAGCTGTGTTCAGGGTTCCCTCTGCAGCCGCAGAGACTCGTGAGCAGGAACCGCAATAAAGCTGGGGCGAGAAGGCTGACACGATGATTTCCCAAGACCTGGGGGGAGGTGCCTCTACATTTTGTTTTAATTTCCTCTTAGAGTAGAACAGCATTTGGAGATAGTGTTCTGAGAGCTAGTGTTGGAGCAGTTTACTCTGTGACGGTCCGGTCAGTGCGGTCAAAGGGGAGTGAATAGTGTGTGATGTCAACACTTCTCTGATACAGAGAGTGATAATAACAGGCTCCACTGTTAATAAGAGCTATGTAGCAGGTTAGGGTAATAGTCTCATCTGCCAATCACGTCTGGGCTCTCGTTTTTAACCCCTGATGCTTGTTTAAAGACATTGTGCAGCCTGTCATGCAGGTGTTAAAGCTGTAATTATGAACAAGTAACACATGGGAAATATTTATATACTGTTTCAAAAAAGAATAAAATAATAGTGTAATATGCTTTCAACTAAGTAAAATTGTTTCCATCTATGTGGACAACGATAGTAAGGTAAATATTAAAAAATTAAAATAGCTTGTTTATTAAGCAAATGAGTGGGCTTATAGGTGAATTTAACATACATCTTAAAGATATTTAATAGTATCACATTCTCTTGTCAATTAAAAAAGAAAAGAATATCCATCCACTTGGAAGAAAAGCATGTTGCCTTCTGAATCTCTGATTTAAGGAAAACTGGCACGTGACCTTCCAGAGCCCGTGGAACTAGGAGCGGGAGGGGGCCCTTGCAGACCTCAGCTCGGTTTTCCCCATTGTGGTGTGGTTCTTTAAAAGTGTCACACCGCCCCCTGGTGTTCAACAAGCTAAAATGTAATATCCCAAATAGCCACTGCGTTTTCTTCCTATATTTTTTGAACAATTAAGGCAATTAAAGAGAGAGAGAGACAGAGAGAGAGGGGAATACCTCGACGTCTTATAAACTTGTGGGTATTCCATGGGTCTTCAGTATTTTCTATTTTTTAAATCACCTTTAAAATGCCACACGTTTTTCAGCCCTTGATGGGCAGGTTTGCAGACTGGGTCCTCCGCCCTAGAGCGGCAGCACCTGTCAGCAAGGTACTGGGAGACACGCTTTAGGTGATGTGGAAATGGCTAACAGCTTCTAAAAGTTTGATACTCGCTTAATAAAATGGGTCCTGAGAGAAGCGACAGTGCCCTCAAACTCAGGTGTGTAATTTTACAGGCACTTCTTTGAGAGTCTGTTAAAATCTTTAAACCAAAGAAAAATAAATAAAGATTCATTTTGACCAAGCATTGCATATAAAACAGTGACCACACATAACCCAAGGCAGGGTCAGATCCTGCTTTAAAAAGGCCTGGAGTGTAGGAATAATTTGGAGGGCCCCTAAAAAAAAAAGCCTGAAAAATATCTACTTTTGCAATTTTTTACAAACGGTGAAGAAACCCTTGCAGGGTCTTGAAAGGGCTCCTGAAGCTTGTCTCATAGCTCCAGGGAAATCGGCCTCCGCTAAGGAAGTGCTGTTTCAGTGCAGCTTCTGGACTTTTCCTTGAGCGTTATAATTCACAGAGCCTAGTATATGTGGGAACACGTACAATTTCAATAATGTGGTCGCATTTTTGTGCGCTTTATATCCTCTGACTGTTGAGAATTGATGATCTTTGAACCATTCTAGCCAAATGAAAATAAATCAGGTTGTTTATACAGAAACAACTTTAACGACGTTGGTTGTATGTGGAGGAATGATGAGGACCAGATGCTTCCCGGAGTCTAGAGGAGGTGGAGATGGAATTAGTGCGGCTGTTTTAAACTGTTTAACAGGCGGAGTCCTGACGGTTGGCCGCCCTCAAGGGGAGCACAGGTTGTGTTCGCGGAGCACCGTGAAAACCTAGGTGTCAATCTGAAAGACCGGGAGCCAGGCCAAGTGAGAAAAAGTGACTTCGCTCTCACTAGGACGAGGCTCTATTATCCGAAGCAGGGGGTGACCGTTCTCATAGGAACCCCAGGCGGCGAAAAGCCTCCTGGGTGCATCTCAGGCGCCCCTCGTCAGGGCTGCTGTAACTTCCTGACGTTTGGTCTGCCCCGCCCCTGTCCCTGCTTGTTTATCGCACCTTCCCTGCTTCCTTCCCAGTGCGTGGGATGCACGGGGCCGAGCCTTGTCCCCGGCCCGGCCTGCGTCGCCTCCACCAGGGCTGCGTGGCGCGCCGCCTGGCCGCAGGGAGAGGGCAGCCTGTGTGCTGTTCCCTCCTGGAGAGAGGCCGGGCGACGGGAAGATGCTGCGTCCCATAGATGAAGTACATTTCCATGCGCAAACTAGTTTCCTTTCGATGATGCCCTTTTCTGCCTAAGTTGACTCTGTAGGCTGCTTCAGCTCAGCTGAGTCTGTGACAGTCACCAGTGAGGCAGACGGTCAGGTCCTCCGACCTCCCGCGGGCCCCGCGTCCCCCGCTGCGGGCTCCCTGCCCCCGGCGGGTCCGCGGGCCCTGCGCCGTCCCGCGCCGGCGGGCAGGGGCAGTGGCGGTGGCGGGCGGCCGGAGGGTCAGTGTGCTGGCTTTCTGTTGCAGCATTCAGCGCGCGTGGCGCGAGCGCCTGCAGCGGCAGGAGCCCCCGGAGAAGAGGAGCCCGTCGCCGCCCTCCGTGTCCTCGGACAAGCTGAGCAGCTCCGCCAGCATGCACACCTTCTCGGACGGCAGCACGCCCGTGAGTGCCGCGCTTCCTTTCCGCGGGCCGCCGGGGCCCACGCCCGGGCGCGGGGCTTTGGCTCCGGGAGAGATGTGGGGTGCGAGCAGGTGGTCTGTGGGCGGAGGGCTAAGTTGCTTATTTGCTTTATGTGAATCTGGGGAGGGTTTTGTCGTCTGAAAGTAACGACACGATTCATAAACACAAAGTGACCTGTATCATGCCTGAGGGAACTGACTGCGTTTGAGATCAACCTAAACTACTCATTTGTGTGTTGGTATTCCTCTACTACTGAGAATATTTTTACTTTTCTTTGTATCAGCATGTTCCTGTTAGCATGGGCCTCTGGTAGCGTTTTGTGGTGCTAATATGATAGCGGAATAGCTGGGTTATGAGGATTATAAAGAGAACATTCACAGGAAGAATTAAAAGGGGTCACAGCACAGGGATTGCAGCCCAGATGCCTACAGGGGCCAGGTAAGTAACCCAGGTGGCTGATGAGTTGAGACTGGCTGACTAAAGGGCACGGCCTCACCCCAAGGGCAGCCAAATGGCTCCTGGAAGCACGTTGCCATGTGGGGATGCAGGACAGACGTTGCCTAAGGTCATTTTCTTTCCTCAGGAGATGCCAGACGTCCAGGTTTTTTAATGGTGGGCAACCAGTAAGAAAATTTAAAATGTAAATAGACCACGCTTACAGACCACGATTGTCCTGGGGGCCACCATTTAAGAACTCTGCGGTCCAGGGCTAAGGAATGAAGGAATCTGATCAAAGTCTTTATTTATTTAAAAATATGCCAAATGTGGCAGGCCATAAATGATCAGGCAACTGTAGTGCGGAGTTTTGTGGCTTGAGTCATTGCGGTCATTTATGACATCCCTGGGGTGCTGAAAGCGGTCAGGAGGAGGGGGCAGCTATGCAAGTGCATTGCTTTCAAAAAGTCTTCCTTGACCGCTTGGCAATCATGTTTATTCAGCTGTAAAATGTTGCAAGCCAAACAGCCAAAATAACCTATTCACATTGAGATCAAGCAAAGGTTACTTTGAAGGTTTTTTAAAATTAATATTTTGTTGAGGTCGTATTGGCTTGTAACTGTGCAAATTTCAGGTGTAGTCATTATATATCAGTTTCTGTATAGACCGCATCGTGCTCACCCCCAACAGTCTCGTTTTTATCCATCACCATCTATATGTGCCCCTTTATCCCTCTGGCCCTCCCCCACCCCTTGCCACTCTGGTAACCACCGCTGTTCTCCTTATCCGTGTATTTCTTTATCTTCCACATATGAGTGAAATCATATGCTGCCTGTCTTTCTCTGACTTATTTCGCTTAGCTTAATACCCTCAAGGTCCATCCATGTTGTCACAAATGGCAGGATTTTGTATTTTTCTGGCTGAGTAGTATTCCATTGTATGTATGTACCACATCTTCTTTATCCTTTCAGCAACCGGTGGGCACGGGGGTTGTTTGCACGTCTTCAGATTATTGTGTTGCATATTCTTTAATAAACGGTTTTATCTAGTTATGGAATCCAAAGAGAAAGCAGTAAGTTGAGTTTATAGCTGTGCAAATAACCATGGCAGAAGATCTATTTTAGCTGACAGTAGAAATTGAATGCTTTGTGAATCTGTACTTTTTAAAGAATTTTTTGGGCGAATGAATTATCTTAACTGGACTCTCTCACTAGAGGGCGCTGATGAACCACATTGGAAAATGCCTGAGTTTAATAAAGTTTGTATTGAACTCGTGATTTGTAAGTGAAAAATAATGTGAAAATTGAGTGTTTAGGATGCCTTCACTGTGAATGCCAATAGAAAAGTGGAAATTAAGTGACGTCGAAGATTTGATTGGAATGATGGTGGCCGCAGATGAGAAGCGATTCTGCCAGGAGGTGAAGGTGCGGATTGACCGCCTTTGTACGTTCTCACAGCCCGCATTCCCACACCGAGGCCAGCGAGGTGTAATGATTTCAGTGTTTTAGTTAACCTTGTGTCTTTACTGAAATTCTGAAAGAATCTGTCTTTGCTTTATGTCTACGCGGGCACACGACTTGGATTCCAGCGCTTCACGTGTTTTGTGCATAAACACACGTTCTTCCCCCTCGTGGGTCGTCACGTTTCTTTGTCTCTCTGCGCAGCTTTGCTAACAGTCGACCGTGTGTGACTTGGCCTGGCCCCAGGCCCTCTATGGCTTCTCGGTCGAGGAGGTTTCCCCCCAGGTCGCCGCAGCAGTGGTTCCCGGCAGGCGTGTCGGGCGGACCCGCTCCTGCCTCAGCTCTGTGCTCCTGGGGCCAGGACGGCTCTGTCCCGCGGGGGACGTCGGCCTCGCTCCTGGCTGCCTGTAAACAGTGAGAATCAAATCTGATTTTCAAAAACATTGGAATTAGCCTCAGAAAGAAGCAGAATCTGCCCAGAATACCGACACGGTTATTGATTATAACAGCTTTGATATTGATGATGGCTGTGGTGTGACAAGAATGTACAAACTAAAACATGAAATTTATAAGATGTCGGGACATTCCTAAGTCTCTAGTTTGTCAGGCAGATAAAATATTCAGGTCATAATGTTTTAAACCCGTATGCTTAGTTTGGAGCTGGTGTGACTGGCTGGGGTGGTTTTCTCTCCCCCGGCATCGCTCTGCTGCGACCTCCTTCATGGAGAGTCGTTCTCATATCTTGTTGCTGGTCGCGGCCTGATGAAGGACAGCGACTGCTCTGCCGTGACCACCTGCCAGGCCCGAGGGGTTGACACCCACTCTCAGGAGGCCCCGGACAGGAAGACTTGGTTTGCCTCTCTCTGATGAGTAGACTTCAAGTTTACAGAGGGGATGTGATGACCCTGGCCCACCTGGCCAAGCCTGTCATAGAGATGACTTCCTCTAACAAGCAGTGAGTCCATTTGGAGCCTCAGGCTTGAAAGCCTTTGGTCCAAGTCAAATGCTCTCCCTGGGAGAGGTGTCTCCCTGATTGTCTGGGCCCCTGACTCCTTCTAGAACCCTCCAGCTTGCTGAACCTCAGCCCTGTCTCTCTGGGCTCCATCTATGGCTGCTGCTGCCTAGACCATTGTCTGTCTTCTCGACTCTCATCAGCTGCCTGTCTCATCCCAAGTCCCCGCCTTCCTATACTAACCTCTAATGCAGCCTCAGCGGAGGCCAGTTTGCCCTTGCCTGACCCGTGGGCCTTGCCAATGCTCCCCTGCTGTCCTCCCCACGTCTCCAATAACTGAAACTACTGCCCACACTAGCTGCTTGCCCCAGGCACGTGCCCCCTGGGAAGCCCGCAGCCTGATCTGAGTGAGTCTGTGCTGAGCTGAGAATGATGCTTCTGCAAGTTTCTGCTCTGACGGTTTTGGCTAAGCATAATGGTTAATATAGTTCTCACAATATTTCTGCTCTAAAATGTGTAATGACCACAATGTTTCAGTATGAGCTCTCAGATCTGTCATCTCAATGAGTGCGGAGCACTGCACGTGCGCCAGGCCTTTGCTAGTGCTTTCCGGGCAACGTCTCATTTAATCCTCTCAATGACCACGTGAAGAAGGGACTGGTATGATCTCCATTTTACAAATGATGAAAATGAGACTTAAAGAGATAACTAACTTGCCCTGGGTTACACACTGGGCTGGAGCCCACATGCTTTGCTATTCTATTAGACTGCGCCACTTGAAAATAAGGCTGCGTTTAGACACTGTCAAGCGGTGGGAGAGACAATCAGTTAATGCATTTCTAAGACTACTTCACAATTTGGTGTGTATAAACAGTGAATGAAATAATTGAAAAAAAGAACCCTCATTTGATTTTATAAATTGCCTCATTCAGTGCTCTTTGATTAAAACCTCAAAGCTCAGCTGCTCGGTGCCAAATTAAAGAGCAACAGGAGGGAAAATAATATTAAGTTATGCGAGCAATTTGCATAATAAGTGCCCTTACACCACAATGGATCATGTGGTAACAGAAAAATTTGTTTTAGAAATAGCAATTTTGAATAGCAACTGTTACTGGCAAATGGAGCTTGTGGGTATCAAAGTGAGAAAAAAGAGTAACTTTTTTTTTTAACCATAAAAATACTAGTTATTGCACGGAGGAAAACAGTGGAAAATGCTTTGTGTATTTTCTATTAATCAATTTCATATGACCAAATACTTATTCCTGTACTTCCCAGCTCCAAGAAATCTATAATTTGTCTAATAGGATATCACAGAAAGACGCTAGAGAATGGTATGTTCTAGATGACTAGATTGATAGCCCTTCACAGATCGTTAGCACGCCCCTGCAGATAAACCTAGAAGTCTTTGGGACTGTTCGCTGTTTGGAGACATTTTCAATTCCATTTGGTGTGAATTGATTCCATCTGCCTGGACCTTCCTTGCTTTCCATGCCCACTTTCTCCCATTGGTTCCCGTTTTCTTGTGGTTGGCCTGGAGGGGGCAGTGTGACTCCTAGAATGAGGCCCTGCCCCGGTGAGAGGACCTGACAAATTGTGAGTGTAAGACAATGCTTCAAGCCATCCTTCTTCTGCAGATCGGAACCCCCCTCAGACACTCAGTGGTGTCTCTGGGAGGAGTAAATGGCAGCACATGTGTAAAATGCAGTACGGGGCCTGGGCCCAAAGCCTCTCGGTAAATGTTAGTGGATTCTGAATCTGCTCTTGAAAACTCTCCATGCTTTCAAAATGCTGTGGAAAACTTGTGAAGAACAGAGCTGGAATTTCTAACTTGATTCCCCTTGGGCACAGTGTCTGTTTCTGGTTCACCAAATAAATCCATGAGAATCAAACTGTGTCCTAGAATATATATATATCACAAATATATATCTATATTCAGAATATATGTATATGCTGAGATTGGAGCTGTACATTACAAAAGTAATAAATCCAGCATTTATTTTAGTTGCTCCTTTTAATGACTAATTTTCAATGTCCAAGGGTAAAACCAGGTGCAAGTCATTTTGCTTCTCAATGAGTCAGCCTCTTCTGAGGGACCAAACCCACATAGGTAGTCAAAGCAAGCCTAGATCATTCTC